TCAGCTACTACATATATGATTCAGGTGTATATACACCTGAAAATAAAAATTAAATTTTAGGGTTTTTATAAACATTTGTCGTTTTTTTGGCTCATTAGGGCCCCCTTTGTCGATCCAAACCGCTTAAAATACACTCGCAATTTCAGGTGTACAGGCAGCTCATATCTTGCTGCGGCATCTTCGTTGCTCGTCACTACCCCTAAAAGCAGAAAAAAAAACACCAAAAGGTGGCTCTTGCTTCTCCTCTTTCTTCTCTCCTACTCCTGCATAAACAGCAACAGAACAGCCAGCAGCAGCAGCGACACCAGCACCAGCAGCAGCAGCAGCAGCAGCAGCAGGAGCAGCAGCAGCAGCAGCAGCAGCAGCATCGGCAGAATGCCGAGCAGTAACACTCACTGTGGGCCCCCAGGAGGCTCCTCTGGCTGTCCACTGCCTTCGGCCCCTACAGACCCTGGTCTCCCCCCGGGGGGCCCCCCAGGGGGCCCCCAAATAGCTGCACAGCGGCAGGGTCCCGCTCAGCAGGTTGGCGCTTCCAGGGTACAGCAGGGAGGCCCCCCCCAAGGGGGCCCCCAGGGGGGCCCCCTTGGGGGCCCCCAGGGGGGCCCCCAGGGGGCCCCCGCTGCAAGCGGGGCCTTTCATCGCGAAGCTCGGTTCCCGCTGCGGCCAGTGGAGAATTTGCATGTTAACCGAAAATCCAAGCACAGAGAGCTGCAGCAAGTGAAACATAAACAGCAGCAGCAGCAGCAGCAACAGCAGCAGCAGCAGCAGCAGCAGCAGCAGCAAGGGGGACAGCATGAGGAACGAACGAAAGAACCGGATTTTAAGAAGCAGCAGCAGGAGCTGCAACAGCAGCAGCAACAGCAGCAGCAGCAACAGCAGCAGCAGCAGCAACAGCAGCAGCAGCAGCAGGAAGGGAACGGCACGCGAGTGAAGCGAAAGCAGCACGGCCCAGCAGCACGAGCAGCAGCAGCAGCAGCAGGTCCATCAGCAGCAGAAGCAGCAACAGCAGCAGCAGCAGCAGAAGGAGCAGCAGGAGCATCAACAGCAGCGGGACCATCCGTATCATCATCAGCAGCAGGAGCAGCAGCAACAGCAGCAGCAGCAGCAGCAGCAGCAGCAGCAGCAAAAGGGGTTGCAGCTCCTCTCGCTAACCCCAAGAAACCTCGCCGACGTCCCCTTCAGGCTGCTGCTGCAGCACAGGGTACAGCAGCAAGGGGCCCCTCCTTTCGTATCAATCTATCTATGTATGCTCAAAAAGCAGCAGGGGGCCCCCAGGCAGCAGGGGGCCCCCAGGCAGCAGGGGGCCCCCCAGCAGCGGGGGGCCCCCAGGGGGCCCCCGAGAGCTCCACTGTCTGCAAAGGAGGGGACGAGAGAGCAGCTGCTGCAGCGGGTAGCTGCGCACCTGCTGCAGCAGCAGCTGCAGCAGCAGCACAAACAGCAGCAGGAGCTGAGACAGAAACAGAAACAGATCCAGAAGCAGAAGCAGAAGAAGAAGCAGCAGCAGCAGCAGCAGCAGCAGCAGCAGGAGCAGCAGCAGCAGCAGCAGCAGGAGAAAAGGTACCTGTAGCAGTAGCATGTGCAGCCGACCCAGTTGCTCCCCTTCCTGCTGCTCCTCTATCTATGCGCCCCTCCTCCTCCTGCTCTTCCTCCTCCTCAGCAGCAGCAGCAGCAGCAGCAGGAGCAGCAGCAGCAGGAGCAGCAGCAGCAGCAGGTCCACTGGTGATGATAGTAAAAGATGACGAAGAGATATGGAGTGAGTGGGAGGGGCTGAGGCTGCTGGGGGAGGGGGTGTACGGCCGGGTGTATATGGTGCGGCACCGAAAAACAAAAGAAGTTTTGGCCTTTAAGAGAATGTATTTACACTCCAGACGCAGAGACATCATCGGCAACACACACAACCACAACCACCAGCAGCAGCAGCAGCAGCAGCAGCAGCAGCAGCAGCAGCAGCAGCAGGGGAGGGAGCAGCAGGAGCAGCAGGAGCAGTTAGAGTTTAATAAGGATTTACAAATAGCAGCAGCAACAAGAGGAGGAGGAGCTCTTCCTTCTGTGCTGCAGCGAGAAGTCTCTGTGTTGCATGCGCTCAAAGACAGACAAAATATAATAAATATAAAAAAAGTTTTTGTGGGGAGCCACAGATGCTATCTAGGCTTCCCCCTTGTCCTTGGGGGGACCCTAGCTGAGTACCTGCGTCGCTGTGCTTCGTGGGCAGAGTATATACGTCTCTGCAGCAGCAGCAGCAGCAGCAGCAGCAGCAACAGCAGCAGCAGCAGCAGCAGCAGCAGCAGCAATAGCAGCAACAGGAGCAGCAGCAGCAGTCCAAATATCGACCCTTCTATCCCTTCCTTCTCCCCCACCAATTGTCTATGCCGCACGAACCCCCAGCAGCAGCAGCAGCAGCAGCAGCAGCAGCAGCAGCAGCAGCAGCAGGATGAGTGTGAGCTGGATGGTGAGATGTGTACGTCTGTATTTTGCTGCTGCGCATGCATGCGCTGCGTCCCTCTATACGGCCTCCCTTTGGGGCTTTGTCTTCGCTTATCTTTTAGTTTATTGAGGGGTCTGGCGAGAGCCCACGAAAAAAGAATAATACATAGAGATATAAAACCAGACAATATACTACTACACTGGACAGAGCTGCCTATACACCCCAAATATGCAGCACAAACTGCAGCACTCTTCTCCCATACACTCCAATACGGAACGCAGCAACAGCAGCAACAGCAGCAGCAGCAGCAGCAGCAGCAGCAGCAGCAGGAGCAGGAGCAGGGGGAGGAGGAGCAGGGGGAGGAGGAGGAAATGCAGCAGCAGGAAGAGGAACTGCAGCAGCAGGAGGAACAGCAGCAGCACAGAAAGAAAAAAAAGAAACAGCAGCAGCAGCAGCAGCAGCAGCAGCAGCAGCAGCAGCAGCAGGATGATGATGCAACTGACGACGATACAACAACCGAAGAAGAAGAAAACCAAAAACAAGAAAAACAACAAACACAAACACAAACACAAAAACAAAAACAACAAAAACAAAAAGAAAAAGAAAAACAAAAACAAAAACAAAAAGAAAAAGAAAAAGAAAAAGAAAACGAAAACGAAGAAGAAGAAGAAGAAGAAGAAGAAGAAGAAGAAGAAGAGCTCGCTGCTGATGCTCCTCTCCCCCCCCCGCTTGTCTCTGCTTTATATATAGCGGACTTTGGCTTAGCCCGTACCCTCCCTTTCTTTACGCGCAGAGACTGCAGCAGCAGCAGCAGGGGGGCCCCCAGGGGCCCCCAGGGTGGGGGGGGGGGCACCAACAACAATACAGGCAAC